AAATATATGTTTATCAAATAAAGTCTAATGTTACAACTAGTCATGGATCCCTTTAACGTCAATCTGGGCTCATTTTCCTAGATAATAAAAAAAAATAAGACTAGTGTCATTTTGCTGTGTCCGATAGAGGAATAACTGGTTTGTGGTGCTTTTAGGCGTCCAGAGCTTCAGCTGTGTGACACTAATAAATAACCAACATTTGTGATTACTCCCAGACCAGGTGTATTAAAGCAGATGCTGCTCGTAGAAGAAGCACAACCTACCCTGCTTGAGTTTTTAGACAAACATTTATTAAGTCAGAAGCTTAATGCTGATTTATTAATACTTGATTTTTCTATTTAAAATATCTGGGCTCTTCCTTAAGGGCCCTGCATGGTCGATCAGGCAGGGAAAAACCCAGGGCGCAGGCAAAATTCATGGTGAAAACAAAAAGGCTTTAATAATAAAWAAAAAGAGGCTATCGAGGCAGCAAAAAACTCAAAGTCTCAGGAGGAACACGGAAGACAGCACAGCACAAAACAATGATCGGACACAGACTGAACACAGGACACAGAATATAAAGATAAACTAATTAGGGACAACAAGGAACACCTGAAGGAGACACAAGAGGAAACAGGTGAGCAAGGGCGGGGCTAGAGGAATGACARCAGGGGAGAGATACACAGTGGAACACAGAAAAAAACTAGAAAACTAAAGCAAAACACAGATCATGACAACTAGTTGAGGCGTGGGGTGTGAAAAATGTCGATATTTGCCATTTGGCCTCAAGTCTGCCACGGTTAAAGCACAACAGTTTTTGGCAGAGAGATTCCTCCACAACATCTGTGTGCTCTCCATTAATTAGTTTTTAGCCATTTGACCATCTTTACATGTGTCTATATGAGGGCACAACAGTCGGCTTCTGGAATCATAGTAGTTGAAGCAAAATGCCCTATTATTGTCGGAGTGCTTTGCAGCAACAAACACACGCACAAACTTTTGACCATTCACACACTAATTTCGAATGTGGAGGGGTGCGAAAAGTTCAACCCAGTCCTTGGGACAAGGAGTGGCGTGTGACATGAGGTAGTTAACAAAATAAAAATTAACAAAATGATGCAATTTTCATCACGCAACTACATCARTGAGAGCAGATTTCACAGGTTTGGATGGAGGTCTGGGCAGCATTTTGGTCATGTGCTACCCAGGGAAGGGTCACCTGTCCCTGGGTGTGGGTCATGGGTGTCCTGGGGCACCCTCCGGGTGTGTTAATTAGCATGCATTGTATGATAAATTGGGGTTGAGTTTGAATTAAAATTCCCTGGAGGTCCAGTGGTGTCTCTGGCTCTGTGTTGGCGGGGTTTGGGTACAGTTCTCTGGAAAAGACTCGGAGGTTATATTATAGAAAACGTGGAGCTCCAGATGTCCACGTCTAACCACTCAGAAGGTAAAGAACTGCTCCAAATCTGCTTGTTTTCCTTTCTAGAAATGTATTTTAGAAATAAAATCATAAACGTGGAAGTCATCGTCACGGTGGGTACAAAGCGAGCTCATGTGGGCATCAAAACCATGTGCTCAGCTTACAGTACGAATTTGAAATCTGCGCACACAAAGAAGGCCTTGATTTTCAAAATACTTTCTCAGCTCACTTTAAGCTTGGTTGTAAACAAACACTTAGATTTTAACAATTTGTCTTGTTTCTCACAATTTTGAATCACCAAAAAGTCAACGGCTGTAGCCAMGTGAGATACTGGCTTTAAAGAAAACTTCCTGCAGACCTTTAACTTACCAGCATTTTACACAGAGACTGCTGCAAATTCATTAATGCCTGTGTCTGTCTTCTAGGAGATCTTGAAAACCAAGATGGAGAGATCCAAAATGGAGTAGAAAGAAATTTTCAAAGTAAAAAAAAGCTTTGTCACTGAGGCAGCATTGAATGCACTCCAAGTAATTTGGTCAACTAAAATGATGAAAAAAAAAGCTAAATGTTCTTGGCAGACATTTTGTTTTTATACACAGTTTGTGTAACACTGTTATAACATTGGAAGCATGAATAGTGTGTTTGAATGAGAAACTATTGCGTTGCTCTGAGCTGGATGGTGTGACTGATGTTGATTTGGGATGAGGGTAACACTTGTGTATAGCATAATTATTTTTCCTAAACATTTTATTTATTTTGCTTCTATTTCTACAGAATTAGCCAACTTAAGCAGACACTTTGATTTTGCACAACACCCCTTTTGGAAGTACAGGTTATATCGGTTCTGTTTTTTTTTTTCCTTCTTTTTTTATTTTAGAAATTTACAAATATGTAAAACTCTGTCTTTAGGATAAAAACCTTGGAGTTCATGTCCACTGGCGCCTTCAACACGCAGAAGTCCCATCCAACTGGATTAGATGTGGAGCATGTTGCTCATGAGGCTCACCATTTGTCTTTTAGAGGAAAGAAATCACAAGATTTAGGGTTCAGTCTAGAAAAATCAAGGATCTCATTGTCCCTTGCCTGGATGTGGGTTACCAGGTCCCCACAGGAGAGTAAGATCTATTTAGGGGTGCTAGAGCCCGCCCGGTCATTGGACAAACCTCAGATTCAGGAGGAACAATGCGGGTTCCATCCCAGCTGTGAAAAACCGGACCACGGCCCGTATTTATCAAACTTCTTAGAATTACTCTTAATAATGTTGCTAAGAGTGGACTTAAGTGGAAAAAAGAATTCTTAGTTAAAAGCTGAGAGTAAAAGTCAGTTATGAACACACACAAATATCCGCCTTTTAGTCCAACATTATGCGCAGTTTTTGATCTCTGTCTTCGGTTCATCTCAGACCCCTGGTGGCAACTCTTGTTCYTCTGGAGCAGTCTTAACTTTTCTTGAGAGTAAGAGTGATTCTTAGACTTAAGAATTGTGATAAATGACACACTTAAGTCTGAGTGTAGGAGCAAATCTAAAAATTTTCAGCACTTAAGTCTAAAAATCCACTCTGAGCAGTTTAATAAATACGGGCCCAGTTCTTTACCTTTGCGAGGGTCTTTGAGGGGGCACAGGAGTTTGTCCAGTCAGTTCACAAGAGTTTTTCCTGGTTGGAAAATGATTGAGGCCAATACAGCATCTTACTTGAACAATTAAATGTGTTAAATTATGTGAAAACATGTTTTATTCTGTTGTAAATTGAATTAATTTCATGATGAAATTAAATTGAACAAAAAATCTTGGTTAAGCATTTAGTCATAAAAGTTAAAAAAAAAAAAGACTTATATTCTTTTTTTGTTCAGCTGTGCCAACAAACGAAACGTGTGTATTTTACTGTGAACACTCAGTAACAATGTTGTCTGGCTATTAGTGATCTGTTGTTTGTCATCAACGAACACTGATTCTTAAAGCATACCTCAAGTGTTGGGAGCACTGGTTGTTCAATTGGCAAAATGTCATGATACTGATTATAGAAGCTCTTCAAAGCAAAGTATTTGCTGTGCTCGGTGCATTAATATCTTCAGAATGATTTTACATGATTTTTCTGAATAATTACACTAATCCTTACACCTTTATAAGCGAAATGTAAAAAATTAAGCTTGTTTATTTTTATTGATAAAGGATTATATATAGTTGCTATTCACAATATAATTGTATTTCAGGTGTACTTATTATTGTAGTAATGTCATCTGTCCATAAGCCTCATGAATGTGGCCTGAATTCATACACATGGTTTATGGCATGTACAGTATGTTAGATTTGTTCACTATGATAAGAATAAATGTAATTACATAATTAGGTTGTTTTTGTTTTACTCCTTTTCTGTCACACTGTAAAATTGTGTGTGGATGCTATAAAATCATTAATTTAAGTTATGTAAATTCAAGTATTAAGAATAATGAGATATTAAGAAAGCTGTGGCTCTCTTCCAGAATTTTGGTTTGCATTGTGTTGTGAAACTTATATTGTTTGGCTTTTTGCATATGTTCTGCAAAGAAAATTTTTAATAAAACACTGCTCAAAATGTGAGTTTTTGCGTGAATTTGTATTCAAATTTGTTTTCATATTTGTTTGCACTAAAGAAGAAGTGCCTTTACGAACTGAAGTATCATAGATTCTTGTTTTTTTCTTTAGATTTTAGTTAATAAACTATCCAAGCTCATGTTTGTGGTAATTATAAAAGATAAACAAAAATAACCTTAACAGAAGTTTTATGTAGTTTTTTCTGTTATGAGATTATTTGCACGTTGTGTTCATTCATTTTGATTGTGGTTCTTTTTTAGACTTATGCAATTCATAGGTCCGTTTTTGTTTGTTTGTTTGTTTATTTGTTTGTAAATGTAGTTTTACACACAGATATCATAAAGGCCGACTCTAGTTTATGAATGAAATCTCGCGATGAATGCGCAGCACTGAGGTCACCAAAGCGAGCCGGTGTTGTGCGAATTTCAGTTCCCCTGTGAAAATCTTTTCCCCCTAGTATCACTGGTCCGGGCATGACGTCAGACCAGAGGGAGGCGCTTCCAGGGGAACAGATTTTCACAAGGGAACTGAAAATCGTACAACACCGGGTCACAAACACGTGACTTCTCACGTGACTTTGACCCGTAAACAATACAATTTGGCATATTTCACGCGTAATCAGTTTGTAAACAACGTGTACTTTGTTTACACATCGCGTACGCGTGAAACAATATTTTTTTTCACTAGTAAACAAATTATTGACGACACACCTCAGCTGCACCTTTAACAAGTTCCTCGTGAGTTCAGTCACGTGCCTGTCAAAAGCCAACTTGCTCGCGCAGCCGAGGAAGTGCGAGAAGCTCCGCAGTAAAAACGGAAACTAAAGTGATACGATTGTAAGTGTTAGTAGGCGTATAAAGAGTTGCGTTACATCATTGAGATAAATTTCATGACAGCTATCGCTCGGTCTTTAGCTGGGCTAGCTTCCAGGCTAACACGGTAATGATCAGCTGATGTTTTGGTTGGAGAACTAGCTAGTATCCGACGAGCCTAACTGCATTACAACAGGAGAGGACACCAGGACTCATACCAGACATTTTATTATTTTACCATCGACACGCTAAACAACTACTCTGTTAGTAATGGCAACATATGAAGCTTTGTCTCTCTGACGAACTCAGCTGTTCGACACCGAGCAGGGATTGATTCAGCAGAACGTCGCGTTATCGAATCAGCAAGATCCCTTCAAGATGCACGAGGCTTATGAACCAGTGCCTATGTTAGAAAAGCTTCCTCTTCAGATCGACTGCCTTGCTGCTTGGGGTGAGTTTTAAACAGCTGCACATTTCTGTCCTCGGGAGTGTCTGACTCAGTTTATTATTCTTCCACAGAGGACTGGCTGCTTGTTGGAACAAAGCAAGGACATCTCCTCCTCTATAGAATAAAGAAGGAAACAGGTAAGAGCTCAGCTTGATTTTATTGTGGGCTTATGTGAAGAAAAGTTTGTTTCACGGAGTTGTTTATGTTTATTTTATGTTTTTTTTTAGCCACCAACCGGTTTGAAGTGACTTTAGAAAAATCCAATAAGAACTTTTCAAAGAAAATCCAGCAGGTAGGTGAACCTGATGACTAATAAGTGATATTTGGTGAAGGAAGTAACACAAAAACAGCTTTAGACTTACTTCCTGTTTTGCCACAATATTAAAGGGATCCCCAATTAGTTGTAACATTAGACTTTATTGGATAAATAAATATTTTAACTGTAAAATAAAGACTGTAAAAATACTGTAGGCTCTTTAGTTTTTAACATTTTAAAACTAAAAGTTAAAAAATATATTACACGGACAGGGCCATTTTATTTACACTCAAAGCATTCTGGGTAAATGATGACACGGATAGGTCCTCGGTGTGAGGCTGCTAGCGAACTACACTCACCGGCCACTTTATTAGGTACACCACACTAGTAACGGGTTGGACCCCCTTTTGCCTTCAGAACTGCCTCAATTCTTCGTGGCATAGATTCAACAAGGTGCTGGAA